CTTGTAATAACTTCCATCGTCTTAGGCATGTCGTGTTAGAGAGGAATCTGGATCAATGTGATCACGTGTGTCATTAATTTATGCGTTTTAATAGAGTTGTATTACATAATATGTCATGAACTTAAGGTAAGAAACACACGTATTATAAAATAAGTAAATATAATCACAACACAACTGTGTGGTTCAAAATCACACTGAATTCCTCATCAAGTTTTGCTTCTCATTGTTTGGTTTCTTAAGAAATCTATAACCCACAAGTAACTCTGAGCTGGATTTCACTATTTTGCTCAAGATTTAACTTACAAAGATTGCCTAATTAACTTCAACAGCAGCAAAACAGCACATTCAGACAGGAGAAGCTTGTCCCATTGACCTGGTTTGAACACTGTCATCAACCAACACTGAATCTTAAATTAATTATTTTTAATCACTAAACACTCAATCTTTTATTAATTTATAACAATTAGGTTCTTGCATTTATGCACAGGCACACATAAAAGTTCAAATTAAGAAATATAATATTTGCATACAGCCATACAGGAACTCAAATTATCTGGATAAATAGCCCACGGTACTTGTAGATCTGGAAACCGAAACCTCATATAAACAAACTACCCCAACTAAACTAAAGGCCCAAAAAGCTCAAAAGCAAGCGGCTTTTTTAGACGGAGCTCTCTAAGGCAACTGCTACTGCTTGTGAGAGAGTGAGAGAGTAAGAGAACAATGGAGAAAGAGAGAGCAATGGCGGTGGTGGTGCTTTTGTGCTTGGTGGTGGTGGTGGAACTTCCAGAAGCATCAGCTACGAGATTTATGGTGGGAGGGAAAATGGGTTGGAACAGCAATGTCAACTATACAATTTGGGCTCAGGATAAGCACTTTTACAATGGAGACTGGCTCTGTAAGTTCATCTTTCTTTCTCTTCTCTCAGATCCATTAAGCTTCTGCCCTTTTGTTTTTTTTTTTTTTCTGTCAATGCTTATGGTTCTCTGTTAGTTAATTCTCAGCTCAAATGTTCTTGTTTTAGCTCTTTTTTTTTGTTGATGTTGCTTTTTATTGTGTTAGATCTGAAAATTGCTTAATGGGTTGAGCTTAAAATCTGCTTTTCCATTTTTGTTTGACTAAAGAAAAGCATTTTTTCCATAAGTTTGTTTCTTGATGTGTAAAGCTTAAGTTAAAATTCAGTTTTTCCTGCTGAAAATTGCTAGAAAAAGAAGCAAAGATTACAAGTTTGGTTATTCAAATTATATATGGGGTTGCTTTACTTAAGTTTGTTATATACAGTTTGAATATAATCAGATTACCAATTAAGGAGCTTTTCTGAATTTTGTCTCTTGATGTGTAAAGCTTATGTAAAATCTCAGATCTGCAACTTTTTTCTAGTTGTTTTCCTCTTTGCTTTTGCTGTGAAGAAAAGCCAATGTCAGTTCAATTTAATTTCATATTTTTGTGTATCTTTTGGTTAGTTCTAAAGGGTGGTAGAAGATATGGAAATCCGGAAATAAACAAGAGTGCGCGGAATCATTTCCTTATTAAAATGTCACCCTGCACGACACGAAAACTTAAAATAAGTACCAAAGATTAGTTTGCTACGAAGAAAACCTTATATTTTTATCCAGTTGGTAAATTTTTTTTCTTTTTCCTCCAGTTTTTGTTTATGATAGGAACCAAATGGATGTTCTAGAGGTGAACCAGACCAACTATGTCTCGTGCAATGCCGAGCATCCCGTTCACAACTGGACCACGGGAGCCGGAAGAGACGTGGTTCCACTGAACGTGACAAGGCACTACTACTTCATTAGTAGCAAGGGGTCCTGCTACGGTGGCATGAAGATCGCTGTTAAGGTCGAAAACATGCCTCCGCCTCCCAAAGCTGCCCCGCTGAAGAGCAAGAGCAGCGTCCTAACACCTTCCCTCAGATCCCAGTTTGTTTTGTCTGCGGTTTTCGCCATTGGCGCAATGTGGGACGCTTTGGTTCGGCTGTGAAGGCATATGATCCGTAAACTTATTCGCTAAACAGTGAGGATTATCAAAATCAAAATTAGACAATTCTTCTAGCTAAGTAAGCTGAGCCATTGATTTGGGAAGCAACTTGAGATTGCCATCCACTTTACTTAGATTTAATTTTTCTTTTGGTTTTTGGGGGTTTTGTGATTTGTTGGTGTTGTTTTAGTTTCACCTTGATGGAGTAGAAAGAGGACAGTGGTTGTGATTGAGGAAATTTTCAAGTGTTCTTTTCTTTTCTGGATGATTTTTAATACTTTTTATTTATTGGATCTTCATATGCGTTGATTACGGAAGTTTGTTGAAATTAATTGTAACTTATTTCGCGGTCCTCCAATCATGGAGCTGGATCCAGCCTTTAAGCGTGTTGTTTTGGAGATACTTTTCAGTTTACCAGGAACACGGCTTTTTTGTACATCAAGTGTAATAATACAACTGGTTGTAGAATTTTCGTAGTTTCGAGCTTCCCACAAGAAGAAAACTTGCATTAAATCCACATCACACGAGCATACGAACCTATGGACCAAAGATGAAAAAGAAGGCATGGGTTCTTTGGGCTCATTTGTTCTCATTGCACTTCCATGTCATATCTAATAGGTGAATTAGGTGCACATGGGGCATTATCCCTTTTGCATGATTTCATTTTGCTCTGTAGAAGTTGTAACATGTAAGAGCAACTCTACCCTTTGAGCCCTCCTCCCTGGCAATCCACTATTCAATTCATCTAGTGAACAGTGACTGCCCTTAATAAATAGTAATTGCCATTTGCATCTTCATCCTTGGAACCCTTCCCCCTGGCAATTAGTAATAAAATATTAATATTTTTTTTCTCACCCAATCCATAAAATATTATTATTTTTCTCACCCAATCCATAAAATATTATTATTTTTTCCTAATTTTGACCGGTACTCTCTCTCTTTCTCTCACAGCAACAACCATGGAACACCGAGGAGGAAGGAGGACGAGGAGCGGAAGGAGGACGAGGAGGAAGGAGGAAGGAGGACCGGTCCTCTCTCTCTCTCTCTCTCTCTCTCTCTCTCTCTCTCTCTCTCTCTCTCTCTCTCTCTCTCTCTCTCTCTCAGCAGCAGCCATGGAACACCAAGGAGGAAGGAGGGCGAGAAGGGGAAGGAGGAAGGAGGACGCAGAGAACACCGAGCGCATGCACCGATGCCGCACATCAGCCATACGTCACACAGCCTTCAGGCTCTCGGGCTGGCAATCCCCGCCGGGCCTGTCGCTCGGGCCCTTTCTCCTCGCCTGTCCCCCGAGCAATCAACAACGCTGGATCCCCATCCCTCAGCCGTCGGGCCCTTTCTCCTTGCCTGTCCCCCGAGCAACCAGCAACACTGGAATTGCTCTAAGGGCAGTGTGTCCGTCCTTTTTCTACAAGTCTAACCTCAGTTTTTTATTAATTTTTCTTCAATAGTTCGGACTGCTTAGTAGTACGGAAAATTGATGGTTATGATTGAATTGTAAAAAAAATATTTTTGGTTACTTGTTAATCGAATGAATATAAAGCTGGACTACCTAGTAGTTCGGAATATTGAAGACTTACCAAATTTTTTTTTATACATTAGAGTGGTTCAAAGTATAGTATTGTTGAGAAATAATTTTTGTTTACCCATCGTGTGGTTCAATATTCTAGTGGATAGGGTGTTGGGTTTCTATTCATGAGTCTCAGGTTCGAAACTCTTTCTCCCTTAAATCAATGTAATAGTTTTTCACCCTCTCCGTCTTCTTAACAATAGTAATTTCAATTTTTTTTTAAACAGAATTTCTGTTTACTTTCTTTAGTCTTTTTTTTAGATTTTTAATTTTTTTTCTTGCTATCTTTGTTTCTTTGTAGGATCAAATTTGCTTTTATTCTTCCTTCTTTTCCTTTATTTGATACAGTACAAGTTCATCCTCTCTCTATCTCTTATGCTTTATGTTAATGCTTTTTTTAAAAAAAAAAAATTAGGCAGGCTTTAATTTTTTTTACTTTTCTTTAGTTTCTCTCTTCAAATCAATTCAAAATCAAACCAAAATCAAATTTTAAGAATCTGTTTGTTTGCTTTGCAGCAGGTTGCTTGCTTCCCCCCCCCCCCCCCCCCCCTTACAAGCCTTGTTCTGCACTGAACCAGTTACAATACCAACATCAAAACACTCCCAAACTTCAGAAATTCTCCTTCTCTTACACTCCGTGGTATCTTACTCTGAAAATTTTGACTGTTAAATTAATGTAATTGTATACTTGACGAAGAACCTAACTCTTAAAAAACTGTGAAATACAATTAAAAACTTCTAAACAATATATAAAATAATTGTAATGTCCTTTCATTTCATCATATTATTTTTCGAATGTGAGCATAAGTCTAAGGGCGTTTAGGCCAGCTATTAATTTTGATACGATAATTCATTTGAATTTTTGGAAACCAAAACTTTTGATTTTATTTTAATCAATTATTATTCTTCAAATTTGAGCATAAGTCTAAAGGTTTTTAGGCCTGCTATTAATTTTGATATGGTAACTTATTTGGATGTTTGAAACCCAAAATTATGATTTTACACTCAAAAGTATGATTCTTTATAGATTTTCTACGACCTCACAGTTCAACGTTAATTTTTATACCAACATAATAAAACATTATGCAAAAAATATAAAATCACAGAGAAATTATATAAATAATTACACATTTGAAAAAATCTTTTTAGCATTTCTCATACATATTTTATGCAGCATAATAAAAATCTCCTCAAATTCAATCAGTCAGTCAGTCTCAGTCGAGCAAGTGTAACGATTGTAACTGCTCTGAAACATTCTTTGTAGGATGGGAGTTGAGATGACTTGGACCCCACCAATGTCACCAACTTATTTGTAACCACCAATCACCTCATGCCACGTACCCAAATAAACCAAAAAGCCTTCGTGTCTCTCATGCAAGTGTGTAAGTAACCATTACGTAATCTTGACTCACACCCTCGTACTTTGAGCTCGAAAAGAAAACCCCCACGTTCCTCTCGAGGCAGATTACCATTCGTCCCTTCACCTTCCGAATAAATACCACCATTACCATCACCATTATTTGCCAAACAGTTATAAATTAGGGTTTACAGAGAAAGCAGACATTAGTGTGTGAAGTTAAGCGATGCGGATGATGAATTCGGGAGTGATGGTGGCCGTGGTAATAACGATGGGGTGGCTAATGGCGTCTGCAACCGCTATTCTGCATAAGGTGGGAGGCAAACAGGGTTGGGATCAGAACGTCAATTACACTGAGTGGGCGGCAAATGAACAGGTTTACGTCGGCGAATGGCTCAGTACGTTTATCATCATCTCTCTCTCACAAAATATATGTGTATTTAACATCTTCTAAAACAATTCTCAATTCAAAATTTTGATAAATTATATTGAGAAATAAGAGCCTTGACGCAACCAAAACGTTGTTCGTTGTAAAGCAAAGATAAAATTGCATAATTAGAAACAATTTTGTTGGTTTGAGGTCGTCCTTTTTTTTCTTCTTTTAGTTGTGCATTAGAAGTTACTGACTTTGCGCATACATTGCTTTGTTTTCAAGTATTCAACTTTGACAAGAGGTACTACAATGTTCTGGAGGTGAACAAGACGAGCTACGAGAACTGCAATGATCAAGGCTTCATAAAGAACATAACCCGGGGAGGGCGAGATGTGTATCAACTCACAGAGGCAAGGCCGTATTACTTCCTCTCCGGCGGAGGTTACTGCTGGCATGGCATGAAGCTTTATCTGACCGTCCACGATGGGCTCCCACCTGCTCCAGAACTCGCTCCAGCACTTGCTCCGGCTACAAGTGTGGCTTGTCCTCCAAATTCACTAACCTCCTCCGCCGCTGAGATGTTGTTTCTATCCATTGCGCTTTGCTTAGCTTTAATGTGGACGCTCTAGCTAGTTAGTTATATGTAAAAGCGAATTATATGTGGTGGTGATCAGGATCTTCTGTATGTTCTTTTGGGTGCAAGGCTATGCAAGGCATTTAATTGTAGCCTTGAATTGAATGAAATTCTTGAACTTTCATACCCAGATTCAACTCCAATTTGCAATTTTTTGGTGTTCTTTATCCCTTGCGAATTTCTAAGCTTGCCCAATGCTTGGCATGTTATTTATTTATTTTTTATTTTTTATTTCCTTTTTCTAGCAAGAACCATTTGTAATGGGTTCTCCTGATTAACAAGACTTCGCTGAGATCTTTGAGCGTTGAAAATTTATGTCTGAGAGAGAAAGCGATGTATCATGTAGTATTATTTTGTTCTACTTTGTTTAAGGGAGAGAGAGAGAGAGAGAGAGAGAGGGAGAGGGAGAGGGAGAGAGAGAGAGAGCAGCAGCAGCAGAGAGTGGGTGGCGAGAGAGATTATTTGGGGATTTTGAAACGGAAAAAACATTAACAAACGACTCATTAAACATGTTGGGTAAGAGAATTATTTCAGTGTGTAGGGAACAAAGGCCGATACATCATGTGTTAATTTAATTTGATTAGAATTTGTTTTAATTTTCAAACAATTATATTATTATACTTGTGTACCGCATAGTTCGGCATACTGAAAAATCTCTCATTCTGTAGATTGTGAACCATTTAATGAGTTGTAATGGATAATGGTTTGTATTCAATTGAGATTTTGAAATATTTTAAAATAGTTATAAATTCATGGAGTTTAACATATACGTGAATTTTTGGTGAAATCATTAAAAAAAATAAGGGCTGAGGCCTGATTCTATCAAGCCTCAAAAACATTATAAAATTCCTCTAAATCCATCAAAATTTATTATTATTAAAATACTTTAAAACCCAATTATAATTGAATACATTTGAAGTTTTATGAACTACTTCAAATGTAAATACACTCTGATTTCCATAGAATTTTATAAACTTTTTAAAAATCTATACCCATAGACTTCCATTGCATACATATAGATTTATAAGCTCATTTAAAATCTCTTTTCCAAATTTATGTCGTGTGTTACCCATTTACTTGTTTCTCCTTGTAAACATACTTTAAAACCCAATCATAATTGAATACATTTGGAGTTTTATAAACTACTTCAAACGTGAATACACTCTGATTTTCATAGAATTTTATAAACTTTTTAAAAATATATCCCCCTAGACTTCGATTGAATACATATAGATTTATAAGCTCATTTAAAATCTCTCTTCCAAATTTATGTCGTGTTTTACCCATTTACTTGTTTCTCCTTGGAAGCATACTTTAAAACCCAATCATAATTGAATACATTTGGAGTTTTATGAACTACTTCAAACATGAATATACTCTGATTTTCATAGAATTTTATAAACTTTTTAAAAATCTATACCCCGTAGACTTCCATTGAATACATATAGATTTATAAGCTCATTTAAAATCTCTCTTCCAAATTTATGTCGTGTTTTACCCATTTACTTGTTTCTACTTGGAAATATTTCACAAGATAAACGTATCATCATTGCGTTCGCAAATGAAAGTTGACCCCATCGTTTAACTAACATGTAGCTCAAATGTGGTCCCTAGTAGTAGTAGTACTAGTAGTACTAGTAGTAGTGCTACCTCAAATGTGGAGCAAAGATCGAGTGTTGTACTAGATGATGTGGGGGGTGTGATCGTAGATATTGATGTAGCTTCAAGGATGGCAAAGAAGATCCAACAAAAGAGAGCGGAGGCACAACAAAATGAGATAGCCAATGAATTGGATATGTACTTCAATGATCCACATCAAAGCCTAACATATGAGGGTTTCAATCTTTTGGATTGGTGGAAAGGAAATTGTGCTCAATATCCAACTCTTAGTAAAGTTGCTAAGGATGTATTGGCCCTTCCTAGTAGCACCGTTGCTAGTGAGAATGCTTTTAGTCTTGGTGGGAGAGTTGTTGATCCTTTTAGAACTTCCTTAACACCTAAAACGGTTGAGGCTTTAGTGTGTACTAGTAATTGGCTTAGAGGAAAGGAATTTTGTTTCTACAAGGAGCCTACACTTGACGAATTCCATTTCTACCAAGAGCTTGAACGCTTAGAAAGAAGTAAGTAAACAATTTAATTTCCTCTTTTATTTTCTTAGTATTTATTATCTATTAGACTATAATTCAATGTAAATGATTTGTGGTTTATTGTTTTAGGTACGGCTAATTTGGGAGGTGAGGAGAATACAACACAAGAAAATGAAATGCCACCTCCACCTCCTCGACTACCTCAAGTTCAAGTTCAATAACGTCAAAATCAATCACTACCTCCACGACCATCCATTGTAAGGGGAATGGCTCAACCATCAACATTAAGGGGAAGAGCACAAGTACCAACAAGAAGGGAGCAACCACAAGCATCAACAAGATCTAGGGGCCGAAGAGGCCAACAATCTTCATAAACTTTAAGCTTTGCTTTTTGGCTTTTGGTTTGTAACTTAATTATTGAAACTTTGGCTCGTATTTCTTTTGGGTTTGTTACTTTATTTATTTTAAAACCTTGGCTTGTAACTAATTTTTTTGCTTTTGGATTTGTTACTTAATTTTATTTTTATTGCATGCATTTGTAGTAGAAATTGAATAGGCAGATTTATGCTATTGTTATTGTGCACATATTTGTGCTATTGTCATTGTGCACAGATTTGTGCACACTGCACAGATTGGGCAGATTGACACACTGCACAGATTTGCACACTGCACAGATTGGCACACTGCACACTGCACAGATTGTGTTATGGTTTTATTTGTTGAGAACTCTATGTCATTTCATGTTTTAGTTAGTTAGCAAAATTTCTCCTTAAAAAACAAAAACAAAGAAAAGATTTGTGTCTATATGGTTATATTCAACAGATTGGCAGCCCAAATACCATATCAAATTTTAGTCCAAAAGCCCAAAAGCCCAAAACTATTTTGGGATTCCCGATTTTCCCGAAATTCCGAAACTATTTCGGGATTCCCGAAAATTGGGATTCCCGAAAATTTGGTTTGGGATCGGGATCGAAATTGGAATTCCCGAAAATTAGATTTGGGAATCGGAACAAGGGTTTCGATATGGGATCCCATACCGAACCACCCCTATGTTATTGCTTTGATTTGAAGAGGGCTTTACCCAAATAGTTACAGGGGAAAAAAGCATGGGCCTTTAAAGCCCATTTTTGAGATCAGATGATAAAACAGCGCAGCGTCTTCTCCTCTGTTCTGCTCTGAGCTCTTCACAGTTTGCTTTCATGGCTTCCACTTACTGCTACTCACTTTCACTCCCTCCCATCCCCAACCCACCAAACCTCAACAAAATCCAACTCCTACCCACCAACCTTTACACCACGAACCCGTTTTCTCGCTCCATTGCTACAATCCGGAGCCCCGGAATCCGAGCTTCCAACTTGTCTTCTTCCACCGCAGTCCAAGATGAAGCTCGAAAGCCCAGCGAGGAAGCAATGAGCATCGACAATCTTTGCGGCTTCGTTAATCTGAACGTGGGAAATTGGCAAGGTTCCTTCTTTGTAAGTAACTGGTTTGGTCTCTAAAATTTGGGATGTGTTTGATTGAGAAAACGCAGGAAAAAAAATGAAAAATTTACATGGGATTTTGTTTTATGTTTTGTTTGGCAAGACTGAAATTTTCTCAACTTTCTGAGAAAAATGCATGTAAATCTTGCTGGGTTGTTGTTTAATTTGGTTTTCTGGGATTAGTTAATGAAAGATTGAATTTTTATTCCTGCATTTTCTGGGTAGCCAAACAGATAATGTGTGTTCAGATAACAGGAATCATATGAATTCTGGTGTTTGATTAGTTCAGATTATTAATTAGTTCGAGTGATATTTTAGCAATTTGATACTGTTGGGAATCTGTTGCATAAAGTGAGTACAAAGCTTGCAGCTAGCTCTTATGGGGAAGATGAACTCATCAGTCTCATTCAAACGTAAGCTTCGGATAAGCGAAAAGTTTATGATTGGTCGAAATTAAATTTGTTTATTGAATATTAGTGAGCATGTTTAGTTTGTTCTGATGGTTTAATGATATCGTGCTTTGCAGATTATATATTAAACAAGCTCCATCAAGCACTTCATTTTCTGAATTAGATGAGGAGGTGGAGTGGGCGGAGTACAAAATTAAAGAAACGAACATGTTCACGGTGGACAAGTATCAGCAGGTGAGGTTTTCAGAGTGTTTGGGGATTGGATCACTGATCGGTTTCTGCCCCGTTAAGATATAGCTTAGAAACAAATTTTGTGATGAATTGTTTTTCGTTGAACATCCGTTGTGATTAGTCTGCAGATTGGCTTCTTCCCCAATGAGAAAGCATTTTCGCTAAGGTACCAGACGGCTGGCATGTTAGAAACAGTGCTGAGACAGGGCGTTCTTGGGGAAGATGACGCCGGTGAAGAATCACCAAAGTGAGTGGTTGCTCCCTCAGATGACGCTCTTTATGATTCACCGATGTAACTATACACAATGAGATTATTGTACTCACTGTAAAAACATGTTTCTTGTCCATTGGTGTGATGAATTAAGGTGCATTTCGTCAATATGTTTTTTGTTATTGAGCTTCTTGTTTCTTTACTTTCATAATTATATGTTGATCTCTGTCCTCTTCAATTTTTGTTCATCGTGTAGAAATCTAAAGCTCCCTTCCCATCGTCCTGCTATTGTATGTGAAAGTTGTCTGCATTCACTAGAGAAGGATATGCGAGTAAGAGCTTTCCACATCATGGACCCTAAAGGCATTATCGAAATGATTCTCATCTTCCTGGAGGAAAGAGGAGATGGCGCAGTTCTTCCTCCTGCCCTCGACAATAACGTGGTAAGTTTCACAAAGAAGGCTTGTATCAACGAAATTTTGGTTTTTATAGTTGCGTATTTGTTTTTCGGTGTGATGCATATAGTTAAGTTTCCTTGAATGGTCTCAGGAAAACACAGACAGGATTGTGCCATTTCTTGGTACGTGGAAAGGTCACTCCGTAACAAAACGAAGTGGTGTTTATGGATCAACAATGGCTGAAGCTGATATAGTAGCAACACTTGAGATGGATGATAACGGCCACGTTATTCAGGTATCTTCCACTCAAAGAAAATCCCTCTTGAGAGAACATGAAACGTAAAATCAAAATGCCTCATTGAGTCTTTTCTTCGTCGTTTCATTTCTCATCGTTCATGAATTATGTCAGGGCATCACTTCCACCTCCGCTGCGGGTGATGTTACAACTAATGTGCCTTGGACGGGGATCAAGTCGGACAACTTGATTACTTTCAACGGAGGTTATCAGATGACTCTATTGCCCGGAGGCATGTACATGGGATGCCCGTGCGAGGTAGGAAACAATGTTGCAGAATCGTTGTCGTTCCATTTGGAGTTCTGTTGGCTTGAGGGACTTGGCAAGAGACAGAGACTGGTTCGCACTTACGATGTTGAAGGTCAGGCCGTCTCCACAACTTACTTCCACGAGACTAAAATGTGATCACTCCATCTCCACCGTAGAGACATACCTTTTGAAAGGGCAATGGATTCTTCCATCGATGGTTTTGCACCGTTCTTTAGAACCCCCATTTGATGAGCCAATTTGTATTTGCCTGAAGCCTTGAAGTAGTTGAAGAGTCGAAAGTCTTGAGACAATTTTTGTATGTCATTTTGCCATTAAAAGGTAAATTTTTAGAAGAAAGGTGAACTTGTCTATGAATCTTTCCCAATATGTCAATTCCTAAAGGAAATTTACATTAGTTTATGAGCTCCTTTGAAGTGCTTTTAAAATGACTGAAAATGTTTTTAAGGAAAATATTTTTGGTTCCAAAAGTACTTCAAGTGTTTTTTTTTTTTTAGGATTTACTTGTATTTTGACAAAGAATTGATTCCAAAAACATTTTCATTAAAAACGTTTTCAACCATTTAAAAGTAGTTTCAAACGAACTTTATATTATTGGGACATTGCTTGGCTCATTCCCTGCAAAGAGTCATTCATCCTTCCTATAAATCAAAGTTTAACATGTATACGTAAACATCCCATAAAAATCACAGAAAGGAAAATCTCTATTCGCATGTCAAACTATTATTAGATGGAAAGTAGGAGCTCCTATTTTTAGAAGGAATCAAGTATTATCCTCGTCGTTAAATATTTTTTATTATTTTTTTAAAAGGAAAAGTGAAATTTGTGGATAAACAACTTTGATTTTGTTGAACCAGAAATAAATATTTCTTCACAAAAATTAGTACAAGTTGACAATATGCAGCACGTGTTGGGGACTTCATGTTGTAATTCACTCACTGATATGATGAAGCACAACTTGGTTGAAAATCTTGAGATAATGTCCCCTTGCCGTTGTTGCCGTTGTTGCCCCCAACCACCAAAAGTATGAAAATCCAAGATCCCCACCAAAGATTAATGCAACCACTCCAAGTCCCACCTTTCTGCTTCTATTACTGGTATGGGAGTGTGTACAGTTGCCATACTTTATACTTCTGGGTTATTTTATAAAGATTGCTTCTACAAAAAAAAATCAATTAAAAGTAAGGTCGTTTAGTTATTGAACTGTATAAAAATAGATACACGAAATTGACAAAAGCATTACGAACTATCTATGTATTTGCTATAATAAATTGACTAAACGATCTTAGTTTATTTTTTTATTTTTTGACAAAGATGATATTTACAGAGTGATTCATATATAAACGGTTATGATTATAAGCAGTGGCGGAGCCAGGATTTTAGGTGAGGAGGGGCCTCACATAAATGTGAAAAAAATTAAATAATGCATGCTTGGAGTTGTGAGCTAATTATTTTTGAGACTCTAAATGTTTTTTCTATGTCGAAGTTAACCTTCCATTCTCAAGTCAATGAAAAATGCTAGGGATACTATATTTTTAGACCATATTTTAGAAACCACATAATGTGACCCCGTTGATGATTGAATTCCTTCTTTGGTTATTTAAATAAGTAATCCAACCATTAAGTACTATACAATTATGTGGTCACAAAATATGGCTCAAGTAGAAGCTATCTATAGCATCACTCCAAGTCAATATAGAATAGATTGGGAATTTCCGAACAAAAAATGAGAATTATGGATTGGGAATTTGGTGAACAAAATATATGAAATTTTAAAAATTTAGTAAAAAGTTAAAGAGAGCAAAGATAAAATATATAAAATTTCAAGAAGTGGAGAAGGAGAAACTCAAAGTTTATTATTCTTTAGTTGGTAATGTAAAAGAATATTTTTTTGATAAAACTAAACTAGACTTTAGATTTTAATTTTAAGAGCTATTGATTTGTTTATAAAATAAGGTTGTAAATTTATTTTTAGGACGAGTGTTGTTGGGATTCAAAAGAAAAAGAGACTTCTTATTTTAACTATTAGTGAATAGCAATTAAGAGTTTTGTGTAAACCAAAAGAAGTATAATATTAAGTTTATCCAAATATAATACATAATTATTTAGAAAGGTTAGTTGGGGCATACTTAGTGAGGGTAGGCCTTGGCCTATGGTGGCCTTAGAGTGCCTCTGCCCCTGATTATAAGCACAAAACTATGTGATTCGAACTCAAAGAGTTTTGAGTATAAGTTTTTACTCATCCTTAAGTAGCTAAATATTTGTCATATGTGACATATGTAGAACTGCAAACTCAATTATGCATTGTCATGCTAATGTGAGTCGTGGGTTCCTCTGCACCTAAGTTCAAGTTCTTCTTTTCATAATTAGAATTGCAAACTTGATTATACATTGTCATGTAGTTTAAATTTTTTAAATGGGATTTTTGTACTCTCATTTTCACCTCTTACACTTCTCTTTTTCACATCTTACTCATTTCCACTACTGTTATAAATGGCCACTTGCAACTCCAGCTGTTCTTAAATTGACATTTTTTTCAAATTTTAATTCATGTTCATAGCTTGCGTACGTCAACAAGTTAATTTAAGCATCCACACTCCACACGTAGTTGTATGTATTAACAAAATATTTTTTTTTATCAAATTATTAAAATATTAATGTCAATTTTCGAATTTTCTTCAATGTATATGACTACTAGAATGTTCTTTGCGGCAGCACTTCATTTACTTGTCGGTTGAGAAAACCAAAAAATGTTTTGATAATTATTAAATTATACGTGTAAAAATATAAATAATAAAAAAATGGAAGCGTAGCGTGTATTACTTTTATTATTTTCTTTTTTAATTTTTTTAAAATTTTTAATTGAAAATGTCGAAAAGTCAGAACACATTGCCGGTTGCTTGCATTGGCTGCCAAAATAAAATGATTGTGGTGGCTGCGCATGGAAAATAACTCAAGAAAACAAAAGAAAAGGGTGGTGATAAATGATAAATACAAAATTAAAATATGGTTTTGGAGAATTTTTTGTTTAGAAGAATAATTAAACTGAAAAAGACACATCTAAAAAAATTAAATTTGGAGAAATATCTCCTTTTTTTTAACGATCGAATTGTTAGTTTGTAGAATGGAGGAGGACTTCTAAAATCAAATTCGCATGAAATGCATTAATACAATTATTTTTCGCCGTTGCGTTAAAACGTCGTCTGCTACACAATTGATGATGATAACCAAATCAGAGTGGGCTTTGTCTATTGCGGTTCCCCTGTCATTGCATGTCATAAAGCTGAGTGTTACATGCCATGTATTTTAAGAAAGAGGAGCCACTAATATTGCGGTCTAGTACTATTCTTCTTCACTTGTAAGTGAGAAGTTTTAAGTTCGATTCTCATCAAAAAGCGAATTTGAATCACATTATTGCTAGTTTATTGTAAGGCTAAGCCCACCCCCTTCCCTTAGTGTAAATAATATCATTTGTTCAAAAAAAAAAGGAAGAGGATTCTTCTCTCCCATCCTCATCTCTCTCTCATTTTTTTTCTTCTCCTACTTAAATGATTACGATTAAATCACGTCATCATGTTATATTGAATTTTTAATAGAGAAAAAAAAAACAAAAAGCAAAGTGAGAGGAGAGGGAGGAGCAGGAAGCGAAGGAAAATAAGAGGCGTGATAATCCTACTGTATTGTCTATACAAGTTTGTCATATGATCAAAACCTAGCTACTTCGCGGTCATTTGTTGTGTTTTATTTTTATTTTTATAATACATGTAAATTTTCTCTTCATTATAGTTAGCAACGACAAAATGCCATTTTCTCTTTAGATAGAAGCAATATTGGGGATCGAAGATCTAAACCCATAACTCAAATACAAAAATAAATACACTTAATCACTTGAATTACAAATATTTTACGATTAAACTGTTTAATCACTTGAGTTACAAATATTTTACGATTAAACGTGGATTTAGAAGTGTTTAATCAAAGTGGTAGTTTACCATTACATAGACTCTTGTGTCTATGGAGACTAATTTTTTGTTGCGTTGGGGGGTGGTCTAGATCCTAGATGCCGGCCAAGGAGATCAAATTTCGTGCATCCAAAATAAGTGTGATTTGCCGTGATTACTGACTAACATAATTAATTTTATGACAACAAAATTATAAAAAAAAAGGGAACTTTATAAACATGTGTCCGTCCGTGATTGAAACCACATAAGGACTAGTCTATTTTGTGTGCAGAAGAAGATTTGATCTCGTGTTAAAGGGCAACGAAAAGATCCCAAACATCCATCTGTCTCAAATTTCACTTTGGAGCAAATTTGCAATTTGGACATAACTAAACCAAATAATATCTCGAAAATAAAATATGTAAATTTTATTTTCTGCTCCGTGGACTTTCCGCTTCAAGTTGAGGATAGCACCGCACGAAACCACCAAGAAAAAAACCCAATCGGTTTCTGAGAGCAGAGCACAAAACCAAGCAAACAACACCACCTGCAGTACGAAACAACACAGAAAAACAGAGAGTTTTAGAGAGAGAGAGAGAAAAACAGAGGATTCTAGAGAGAGAGAGAGAAACAGAGGAAAAAGCTGCTTGCTTGATTGCTCGATATTACTATCAATGACCGCCAAAACCCAAGACTCGAACAGGGTCGCAGTTTCAGCTCCGCCGCCACAGAAGCAGCCACAAAGACCAGTGATAACACTCCCGCCGCGGCCGTCCGCGGAGGCCCTTTTCAGCGGCGGATCTGGGGCGAGCCCGGGTCCCATGACTCTTGTCTCGAGCTTCTTCGAGAACTACCCTGAGTCGGATTTCAGGTCCTTCTCTCAGCTCCTCGCCGGAGCCATGGGCTCGCCGGTGGGGTCCACAAGGGGGATGAACTTTTTTAGCGATAGCCCAGCTGATGGTTTGGGAAAATCAGGCGGAGGTTCCGAATATGGCGGGGAGGGCAGTTCTGGGTTTAAGCAGAGTAGGCCGATGAGTTTGGCGGTGGCTCGGCCGCCATTGTTTACTGTCCCGCCGGGACTCAGCCCCTCTGGGTTGCTTAACTCGCCTGGCTTCTATTCACCTCAGGTAAATTTTGTTTAATCTCTACGAAATTTACTGTCACTGTTGAGTTGGTAAAAGCTGAAAGCTGCTTTCTTTTGTGTTAAGTATTAAGAAATGATGAATTTCTTCACAAAATTGTATGTAACGGAAGTTCGATTTCTTCAAAAAACATAAATTTTGTTGCCTATGCTATTCACCAAAGTTGTGTAAAGATGTTGCTTTTTTAGGCGCAACTATATTAGTGCTTCCTGTGCTTGTGAGTGCTGAAAATATATGGCTTGTTTAGAAGCGCTTTCAAAATGATGAAAGCACTTTTGGGGAAGATGTTTTTGGGTTCTAAAAGCACATAAAGTGCTTCCTACTTGAAGCACCAGTTACGTGCTCCTTGTAGGAAGCACTTCAAGTGCTTTTCTAGGTTTCATGTGTTTTTCTAGGTTTCATTTGCATTTTTAGTAAGGATTGATCCCAAAAAGATTTTCACCAAAAGTAGTTTCAGCCTTTTTAAAAGCACTTCCAAACGAGCCCATATAGTTTTGATTTTTCGATTGCTAATCATGTTCATTCTTGTAATGTGGTTATAATTCCTGATTAATGCTTCTTGTGATTGTACTTTTGTTAAAAGCTTCTCAAATCTGGTTAAACATATCAATATATTGATGCGTTCTTGTGACAGACCATATGGAACTAGACTTGTGTTGGTGTTATTCTGTATTGTCTTTCTACATGATACAATATGATTTCCGAAGGTCGGTGACTTGAATTAGCATCCGGTTTTCATGTATGTTTTCTTCATATCGTTGCAGAGTCCGTTTGGAATGTCACACCAGCAGGCCTTGGCACAGGTTACTGCTCAAGCTGCATTAGCCCAATCTCGTGTGTACATGCAACCTGATTACCAACCTTCTTCAGTAGCAGCCCCGACAGAGCCACAGGCATGTCAACCATCTTTAATGCCCGAGGAAGCTTCTCGGCAGCTTACATTGCCCTCAACATCTGATACTAAAAGTTCTGTGAGGCAATCCTCAGAGGCATCTCATTCTGATGGGAAATACCAACCTTCATCCACTGGTAGGCCTGCGGACGATAGCTACAACTGGCGGAAATATGGGCAGAAGCTGGTTAAGGGCAGTGAATTTCCTCGAAGCTACTACAAGTGCACACATATGAATTGCCCTGTCAAAAAGAAAGTCGAGCGTATTCCTAGTGGCGAAATAACTGAGATTATCTACAAAGGTCAGCATAACCATGAAGTCCCTCAACCGAGTAAACGCCCAAAAGATGGTGATCTGAATGGGCCTAAGCCTGAAAACGGATTACAAAGAAGGGTAGGAGATTCAAATAGGTTGAGTGAAAATATAGCTTCTCACTCACAACCTGAAAGGGATCAGGAATCTACTGAAGCCGCTTCTGGACAGTTACCAGGGGGAATTGACAATGAAGAGTTGGGCGATGGGGAAACTAGAGAAGAGGGAGATGCTGATGAACCAAATGCAAAGAGAAGGTATTTTTCAAGACATTTTGCATAAAATCATAGTATATTGTTTACCTTACTTTCTTCTTAATATTAAAGTATCCTTGTAAATGAGCGCAGGAACATAGACGTTGGCGCATCTGAGGTAGCTTTGGCACACAAGATGGTCACAGAACCAAAAATCATTGTGCAGACAAGGAGTGAAGTTGATCTTCTCGATGATGGCTATAGGTGGCGCAAGTACGGGCAAAAGGTGGTCAAAGGGAACCCTCATCCAAGGTGGTAACTTCCTCCATATAAATATTTCTTACTTTCAGTTTTACGAATCGCATTATATGCAAGGGCAAGCAGGTTGTTCTCTCTACATTGTTTCTTACATGTTAATACTCACTATTAATGAAGTAATAGGCTTGCATCTTTCTCGGCCGAGTTAAAATGGGTAATAAATTATTCCGAGAATTCTTTGCACATTATTTGATTGATGGAGGTGAAATCAAGAACTATTAGATGATATATAGAGTTGGATTGGGGAAAATCTTTAGGGATTGGGATGAATTCAGGATTACTTATGCTCCGATTTATTGAGAAACAACTACTTTCTGATCTTAGAGCGTCACATCCTTAGCATACATTTAAGCAATATGTGAACAATTTAATTCTAATGTTTTTGTTTCCACTGGAGAAATGATTTCCTTTTTGTGAGCTTGTTATCTGATACAAACTTGTTAACAGGAGCTATTACAAATGCACGTTTGCGGGGTGCAATGTCCGTAAGCATGTTGAGAGAGCTTCCACTGACGCTGAAGCTGTCATCACTACATATGAAGGCAAACACAACCATGATGTTCCAGCAGCAAGAAACAGCAGCCACAGCACGGCCAATAATAGTGCATCACTGTTAAAACCACCCGCGTCCAGGGCTCCTCAGCATACCCTACAGAAGGGCAGAGAATATGGAAACAATGATCAGAGACCGGTACTTCTTCAGCTAAAAGAAGAACAAATAGTTGTTTAAAGTGCTTCAGTGAAATCCGTTATGTAAGTAAAGGTCAGTAGTCAAGTCCAACAACTAACACGATGCAAAATGAACGAATACGGAGAATAAAGAAAGGAAAGGTTTTTAGCGTGGTGAATGTCACTGGTGTGTGATCTTTGTTGATATGCATTGCTGCACATGTAGATGGTTTATAGGTTTGGCTTCATAGGCCCGACATTATTTGTAAATTTGAATACAGAAATAGGGTCGTATATGTGTAGAATTACGTCACGCTGAAATGCGAATATACAAGTATACAACTGATGTATAAATGTGCTTTAAATCTACTCCGCTTTTTTCAATTATTTCCGTCTACGTTTTTTTTTCTTTTTCGTTGTATTTCTCATATGTAAGCTCGTGTGCCATTCATGAGATAGCAAATGTGAGACATCCGTTTCATGAGACAGGTAAAGGTAAGTTCTTAGGCTGTTTTTGACTGGCACAAAGCGAAGCTACCTGGCTTTTGAGATGTTCACACTTTTTGGTGCGTGCTTTTGCGGGTTGTTTTGTGAGTGGCACAAAAGCAACCAAAACTAGTTGAAGCAGGACAACTGATCTGCCGTTTGGGAGATTGTTTGTATTTTGACTGCGAAAATACATCCAACATGTTTCTATTACTTTTTTTTTTTGACAATAGGACGTAAGCCCGAATGAAAAAAGAAGATTACATAATAATATCATGAGGCTACAAGAAAACATCTATATCTTCAACTAGCAGCTGACAACAAGGAGCTAGTTAAAAAAAAGCTTGAACCCAAACAGTCAAATCATCAGCAACGAAATTATTTTTATAGTAAATATGATGAATTTCACAAAATCAACTTTGGCGTATAAAAGCATGACAAGTCAATGCTAAACTTTTCAGGGTGGTTATCCACTTTTGCATTTAGAATCAATTGTACTTCAAGTGCAGGATTCGATTCCACTATAATCTTCTTAAATCATTTATTCCACGCAAGTTGAAACCTAATAAAAACACTCCAAACTTCACCGCATAAAATCTACCTCGACTAAGATTAGCACAAAAAACCGGAGGCCCATGCCCCCGACGAGATTCTGAGGACACCGCCAACACTAATGAAATTGACCACCCCCTTGCGACATCCATCAACATTAAGCTTTACCCATCCCTTAGGAGGAGGTTCTCAATGAAGAAAAACATGTGTTAGAAGGGGATTTATAGAGAAACCATATTCGCCTAAACCAATTTTTTAGGGAGAACAAAATCTTGTTAAAAAATACTTTTGTTTCGCTAGTGCCACAAGAACTAGGAAGTGATACACAAAATAAGTCTCCATTCCAAATTGTCCAAGACTAATATTTTGAAAGAGATTCTTTTACATATAAACTTATCTAACGAGCTACCAATACTATCCACATGAATATTGATACTTAGTACTTACCCCCAATTTTCCGATAACTTGTGGGTTGGTTTCAATTGTTTGGTAGCCCGTCCAAAATAATAAAAAACTGAAACTCACAATAATTTGAATCAATTAGTTATTTGATCAAATTTGCTTAGTTTCCCAACTCATAAAATCCAGCACGACTAATTATATACACCCTGCTTCTGGGTATAATCATACGTAGCATTGGGGCTGTTGGGCAGTTTGCCTGCAATCTCCATCACCACCCTCACCTCCCCATTTCATACAACATCACTCATCCCACAACTCACTTTCTCTCTCTAAAGTTTCTTAGGCGACGTGCTATTGGAACAACTAAATGTGTTTTCTGACAATTCAAAACGTTTCTGACTATGTTTGTTAGAAAAATTCAAAAGCATTTACGTACTATGGAAATATTCTCTGGAGAGGCACCTCGAAAATACTTTCAAGTGCTTTTTTAAAAAACACTTTTAAGTAAGCACTTGTGTGCGAAAGTACTTCCTACTAGTTTTGCTCTCTAAACTTTCCTTCTCTCTTCCCTGTCACTGTGCGACCGACAGTCCATTTTCCAACCAGACACTAAACACCGTGAAAGCATGAAAGCAACAAACAAACAACGGTTACATTCTTAAATTTCCCACCTTTTCCTCTTTTCCCAAACCACAAACCCCAAAAATAAAAGCAAAACACAAAAACCAGAGAAAAATTATCAAGAAAAACAGGGACCCACGTACGCAAATCACTGTCGATAAAAAAACATTGTAAAAACGATGTTGTTGTTGCTTCCTCTGTTTCCGGACCGTTAGTCACGACATCCTCATAATCCCCCCGCACATCTCGCAAAAACCGAGGAGGGAGGACGACCGGCTCATTGGGACAGCCACCCAAATATGGCCGCCTCTGTTTTCTCAATTTTTTTGGCATCGAGAAAATGACTTCCTTAATGCTGTAGGGGTGCCCTTCCCTTCCCCCTTATCGACCCATCTCCCGATCTCCGCCGTTCGATCCCTCGGCGATCTCCCCCCACATTCTCCGATCGATCGATGCTGGCGGGATTTGGTGGTGGCGATAAATGGGTTGCATCAGCTCCAAGCGGGCGGCTGCCTCGGCGTCTCCTTGTTACGAGTACTCGGCCGCCGTCGCCGGCAATGGCTCCGTCCTCCTCGAGCCCTCTTCGTCCTCCTTAAAAAAGAACAACTCCGCCTCCGCTGCCAGCAACAGCAACAACGTTAGCCGATCCAAATCCAAACCAAAGTCCAAATCGAACTCTTCGGAATTTAAGAAGAGTGGTAGCAAGAGGGAACCACAGAATCAGAATCATCGTCCGGGCGACGTGTCGGAGGATCGGAGTGTCGTTGGCGGCAGACAGTCGAAGAAGAGCAGGAAGGAGAAGGAGGGGTCTTATCACAGCCATAATAGTCACAATGGCGGGAAAGGTAGTGCCTTTAGCTTCAGATTGGGTTTTTCAAGTCGTTCTTCTTTGGAGGCTGAGCAAGTCTCCGCCGGCTGGCCCTCTTGGCTCAGCGCCGCAGCCGGCGAGGCCATATACGGGTGGATCCCCCTCAAAGCTGATGCTTATGAGAAGTTGGAAAAGGTACATTTTGATTGATCACCTTCCCATTTTGCAGTAGTTTTAATGACATTATTAATTAATCACTAATAAATGCTACTGCGATGTTTATTACGTATAATATTCACATTTTAGATTCCATCACGCAGATGTTTTCCTTCATCCATGTTGGTTTTGATTTTGTCTGATACGAGCGATATACTATTTTAAACTAATCTAAATCGTGAGGTGATAAATTGAATTCGGAGTGAATAAGAGGATCACGTATGCACTATTGTCATTATGACTACGCCCACGTCCACACTTTTGGTTTTGATTCTTTTAAGTAAAACATATTTGCTTACTTTCTTCTCTGTTGTGCCCCAACTTCAAGTTTCTCGAGAGTGCGAAGTACGAGTGGAAAATGTATCCTCCTATCGAAAAATGTGTTTGTTCTAGTTGAAAGTGCACATCTTTAGTTTGTTTAAATGTGCAAGCCTTCAAGAATCTTGTAACGGTTTTGGTTCTTGATGTAATTCAATGTTAGTTTCTAATGGTTTGCCCTACATTGTTCTAGATTTTGAATTTGCTTACGGTTCATTGATTTTTTACATTAGTTCATTTCGAATGCGTGCAGATTGGACAAGGTACGTACAGCAGTGTGTTCCGAGCAAAGGAAGTGGAAACTGGGAGGATTGTTGCACTCAAGAAAGTACGTTTTGACAATTTTCAACCGGAGAGTATTAGGTTTATGGCTAGAGAGATCATGATTCTTCGCAGGCTTGATCATCCGAACATCATGAAACTGGACGGAATAATAACATCTCGATCATCAAATAGCATATACCTTGTATTCGAGTACATGGAGCACGATCTTGCAGGACTTGTAGCTAGTTCCGAGATCAAATTCACTGATATGCAGGTTAGTTTCTTGCCTAACAAGTTTTGCTGAACCGTATGAACATTGCCATACAAGTCAGTAAGTTTGGTTGGTCTTTCTTCTGTGTAGATTAAATGTTATATGAGGCAGCTATTTTCCGCAGTCGAGCACTGTCACTTAAGAGGTATTATGCATAGAGACATCAAAGCCTCCAATATTTTGGTAAACAACGAAGGGATTCTGAAGTTGGGAGATTTTGGATTGGCGAATGTCATTAACTCAAAGAGCAAGCGACCGCTGACCAGTCGGGTGGTGACCTTGTGGTACCGTCCTCCTGAACTTTTGATGGGGGCAACTGAGTATGGAGTTTCGGTGGATCTCTGGAGCGTGGGCTGCGTATTTGCAGAGCTGTTTCTAGGAAAGACTCTCCTTAAAGGAAGAACTGAGGTGATTACAACGTTAATGTCCAACGCTAAAAGTTTCTCTAATTATGGATTTTTAATACAATCCTCATTAACAATATGGGATTTAGAATTCGTAATGAAGTTAATAGCTCCCCTCTCGTTTTACAGGTCGAACAATTGCACAAAATTTTCAAGCTTTGTGGTTCACCGCCTGAAGAATACTGGAAAACGTCAAAACTTCCTCACGCAACTATGTTTAAACCACAGTACAACTACGAAAGTTCTCTTAAGGAGAGGTGTAAAGAGTTTCCAACTACTGCACTAGACATGTTAGAGAATCTCCTTTCCGTAGAACCTTACAAGCGCGGGACTGCCTCCTCTGCCCTAATGTCCGAGGTAAAATTCCATGAAAATACTCTCGAAACTTGTGATGGCAAAATACTTTCAGCAGTGTTTGAAGAGACGTTCTTAAAGTATAAAACTTCTGCCTTTGCTGATTTACTTGTTTATCGTGGCCTCTGTTCTTCCAGTACTTCAAAACAAAGCCTTATGCCTGCGATCCGTCACATTTGCCAAAGTATCCTCCTACCAAAGAAATGGATGCTAAAAATCGGGAGGAATCACAAAGGTAAAATTCTTCGTTTAAACTAAGGTTGTAGTTCAGATGTCTGTGGGACTCTGCAGGTGTTTTCCCATTTCTAATTGCGATGTTTACGTAGAACTGATTACAAATGTAATCCTTGTAGATTAAGACCACGCTTTAATGTTTACGTAGGCATAATTAGACGGCTGTATTACATTTTTCAGGAAAAGACCTGGTATTCGAGCACGAGAGACAACAAGGAAACCAAGGAGAGTCCGTAAGGCCTTGCACGAGTCAAATGGTTCCGCTAAAGTGGCACCAAAAGAGGTCTTTCTCTATCTCTTATTGCTTGCCTGTGCGTGCGTGTGTTTTTGTGTAATGGAAGCTAGAAGCAAGAAGCAAGCTAGTTCTAACTGAGTGATTTATCCTTCGACTGTGCAGGATGGGCAAGACGATCATACTCAATCTGCTCGTCGAATCAATGGTGGTAACCCGTTTATCCCAAAGGCGAAAGGAGGGCTTCTGCGCCGAGAGTCTAATCTAAAACCGCAATTTGATACAGTTTCGGAGAATTGCGAGTTGAATGCATCACAAGGATACAGTACATTGTCTTCCGTACAAACCTCAGCAGCAAGCGGCTTTGCATGGGCAAAAAGGGGAACAGAGGATGGTACTAAATCTGCAGTTTCAGATGGCTCGAAAAGCCAGTTCAGTGCCCTCGATGCAAACTTCGCAAAGAGTACATTTGACCTAAAACAAGGATACAGAACTGGCAAGACTGCGATACGAAAGCTTAGAACTTTCGACACGTCTGAACTTGCTAGTACAGGAGAGCCAGACGATACAGGAAACGACATGGTAAGGACAAAGAACGCAACCATCGTCTTTGACACAGTTGATCCAAATGCTTTACACTTAATCACTACGACTTATCCTTCAACAATGTTATAGGATTCCGTTGTGGAAGAGAACCGTGCCATTGAGTTTTCCGGACCCCTACTTTCCCAACAGTGTGGAATCGACGAACACTTGCAAAGGAACGAAAGCCATATACGCCATGTATCTCGAAGATCAAGGTTCGAAAGAGGTATGCGCGCGAATCTTAATCCAAATGGAGCATAAATTATCGTGTTATTATACATATACCATATTAACTACTCGTTACATCGCTCATCGCTTATGTTACAGAGGTAGAACCCCAACCTTTACAGGTGACCATATGAGACAGTGATCCGTAAACTTGGTACAAATATTTGTATTATACCCGACAATGGCAAAGGCGATTACGTGTGATGAATCGAACTTAATTTCCTCAAGAGAAACGATGCAAGAGCAGGCAATGCTTGTTGAATCAAGCCATCAAGCATTGGAGCTCAGAAGACATTTTTCTCTTGCCACATTATTTCATGAGTCGCGTACACTCTGCGCCCTAAATCAAAGAAAATCGAACTTCTTTATACAAATTTGTGCAACACCACCATCGGGCATTTTTAGTGAACATCTTGGCAACCCCAATCAATTTTTTCACAAAAGCGAGAACTCTGAGCCTTGAACAGTTTGCCACTTCCATTTTTCAAGTGCTGCAGATTTTTTTTTTCTTGAATTATTTGATGGGCATCATGAAATTTCATTTATTTAAATGCAAATATAATATTATGTTAAAGTCTACAAACAACTATTCTGTTTTATTTGTTTGATTAACGATGTGATATCTCTAAATTACTCTTGATTCACAATATCTTAACCAAAGTGAACGCAAAGAAATAGTGATAATATCGTAACTAATTGACCTAACTCACGTCTGTATCTCGTTTTTCCAATGGAATTGTTGGTTGCTTGTATATCGCTTCTTTGAGTACTATGCTATCGTGCTTTTCATATTATCAAAAATTCAAAATCAAAGCTTGATTGCCTTTTGAAAAATGCAAATCAAGGGTGGACAAATTTGTAATTTCCTTGTGGAAACTGAAAAAAAGGGGAAATGAAACTAGAACAAAAAAAATCAGAGACCAGGGACAATGAACTCCGATTGGATTTACCAAAAGCCAAGAAAAAAAAACAAATTGAGAGAAACAAATGGTTTTTTTTAGAGATTTTAAAAGCAATAAATTAGGTTTATAGATTTTAGAAGCAAGAAAATTGGGGGTTTAGAGAAAAAGGAAGATGTAGGGCAAACAGATCGCTTTTGCTGCAAAAACTGGAGCAGCAGAGCGGCCATGGAGCCCCCAACCGCAACCTCCCCCGGAAGAAAGAAGGCTGGGTTGTTAATGTGCGCCCAACGCACTAACGTGCGCCACGAATAAACCTCTCCCGTGGAATACCACGCCGCCTCTTCCTTAAGAGGGAAGCGCCCGGCCTCGGGCGTCATTTTCTCTTCTCTCCTCCTCCTCCACCGTTTTATACTCAAACCCTAATCACATTTCCTAATATGCCCTCGCTTTTTCAACTCACTGCCAGGTAAATGCTTTTTCTGATTTACATTTTTTTGAGAGATTCTAGTTACTTTTTTATTTGCCCTTTATTTATTTATTTTTTTTAAGATGTCTTAGGTTCGATTCTCGCTAAAAGAGAATTTGAACCACATATTATGACTATCACATTGTGAGGTTGAGTTCTCTCCCCAATGGCTCGTTTGAAAGTGTTTTTAAAATGATTGAATGCGCTTTTAGCAAAAAATGTTTTTAGGTTCTTAAAACACTTAAGTGTTTTTTTTTTCATGATTAACTTGTATTTTTACTAAATATTAATTCTAAAAATATTTTCATCAAAAACGTTTTCAATCATTTTCAAACGAGTTCTTAAAAAGTAGACCCTTTCTCTTCCCACTTACTCAACCATCGTCACCTACCCATTTCTTACATCAAATCCATAACCCAACCATGGTTCAATTTTGTTCGGTTTCAACCAATAGCTACAATTATAACCAAACCAAACCAAACCAAACCAAACCAAACCAATCCGTTCTATAGTATGACTGTACTTTGGACATCAAACTGACCCAAGTTGGATCTGTCCACCCAAATTGGTTGGGCATTAACATTGTATCATCAATTCCATGTAAGTTGTGAACTTAAAAGGGACTTGAAGGAGAAGATGTAATTGCAAACACATTGTTGCTCTGGTAATCCGAATATTAAACCTTAGTCCTAATAAATCCTAACTCCTAAAAACTAGTTTTATCAAGCTAATGCTAATACATACAGGCTACAGAGTTATACAAGACTCACCAGTATACATGTATTTTAACGCTAATTAATCGCGATTATTGAAACGCTACTCCAAACGAACATCTCGATGACCAATTTCGCCAGTAATGTGTGTATATCCGTAAGTCTACAGCTCGTCCTCTATGTCATTCATCGTCAATGGTCACTAGACTCGGTATTTGGCCGTGATCAACAAAATCAATCTTGTTCAGCCTCATACAACAGAGCAGTTCCTCCGGCAGTTCTTCCTGTTTTTGTGCCTACAAAAAGCGCGAAAAAAGCAAGTTAGTAACACGAACACAATTTGGAGACAAACCGATGAATATGCCAGCATTAGTGAATGTGACAGGGTTTCTGGTTACCTGGATGGTTAAACCCATGTCCAGAATTCCGTTTTTTAGACGTTCTCTAAAAGATTCGAGACCCTTCCTCGATATGTAGCTGAAGCGATGAATGTCCAGATCGATCTCAAAGTAATTAGGACCCTGCATGTGAGAGTGCTTGATGAAGTCAAACAAACATGGTATTTTTCAGTACTGTAAAACTTAGCAATGTCAAACGTTCAGTGTTTACCTTATAAAAATTGTGCTGAGGACGGGAAAGAACTGGTTTTTCGTTATATGCATTTACAAGCTTCTTTTCAGCAGAACTCAGACCGAGATCCTCAGGATTAACCAACCCTGCCATGATCTTTAGCCTTTCTCTAAAGGGTACAATGGAGTCCTTCGCAAATCCTTTAACCTTTTCCGTTTCATCGTCAACCAATTTCTGAAACATCACATAGATCAATGGACTGAGTATACCAACAGACTGAGTATACCAACAGAGAATCCAAACGTTAAGTCGAAGACAATTTCACAACGAGGTAATTCGAAATAAAGTTACCTTGATGCTGTCCTGGAATTGAGGAGAGATGTCTTTCTCAAAATTCTCAGAAACTTTGAAATACATTACGAGACTAATTCCTTCTCCATCACTATCACCAAGGAACATTGCAGCGGGATAAGTAGGCAACTGCAATAATGCAGAAAGCAATATCATAAGAATCTGTTGAGCACAATGTAAGTAATAAAACATACCAACATAAATTTGTTCTCTGAGAGCACCTGTATATTTACGATGAGGAACGGAGGCACTTTTCCATCGGCTTTTACTTTGGGAAGCTCAAGATGCTGGGCAATGTGATGTATCTTCTTGGGGCATACAAATAGATCAACACCTATTGGAGTATATGGACTGTAATTTGGAGCAGGTGACTTGCGTTTATCCCTGATCAACAGAAAATATTATTCTCATTAGAACAAAGAAAAGAGGTCGCACTTGGTGCGATGGCAAGTGCCTTCGCCCATGAGCGGTAGGTCTCGGGTTCGAGACTTGGGAGCAGCCTCTCCATAAATAGGGGTAAGGCTAGCCGACATTCACCTCTCCCAGACCCTGCATAAAGCGGGAGCCTCGTGCACTGGGTACGACCTTTTTATTAGAACAAAGAAAACTTGAAAAAAGAGTAACTAGTTTCAAATTCAGTCGAGGTTGGTTTTCAGAAAGAAAAACCAAATTCATACTTGAAATAGTTCTCCCCACGGAGTTTAAAAGTTGAGGGTGGAATCTCAGACCAAGATCCTGGAGTCGGCTTTTCCACTCTACAACATGGAATGATATATCCTGGTCTAGGACGATACAGAAACCTTCTTGATTGACCTGCGGATACATCGATGATATGTTCAATTACAACAACAACAACAGCAAAGCCTTTTCCCACTAAGTGGGGTTGGCTATATGAGTCCTAGAACGCCATTGCACTCGGTTCTATGTCACAGATGATATGTTCAATTACAATATCAAAATTCTAAATTTTCTTCCTATTCAAAGACAGTTAAAAGTATTTGGTTACTTACATTGTTCAATGGTTTCGTCTGCATCACACGATCTCCTCTTAAAAGAAAGCCTGAAAACTGCCGATGGCTTTCTTTGCGCCTGTGGACCCAAACTCTGTGCACTTAAAATCTTATCGTTGAAACTTACAGAAGGTACCAATCGAGGTAAGCCAGATTTAAGCATACTGTCTTGAATTTTTTCATTAGAATCACGTCGATCCTCTCTAAGTCCTTTAAAGCTTCCATAAGAATGGTCCAAAATATTCTTCCTCTTGCTACGCGGTTCGTCAGCCTTCCCCATGAACTTATCTGATACACCTCCATCTATTTTCGTATAGCTTTGGTATTCTTCATACTTACACCCGTTATCCACAAAGTGTGAAGATCTTTCGTACTGAACGACTTGGCCACCTGAGATATTCCCAATTGGGTTGCCTCCTAATGGAAAACCATCTGTTGAACGAGGGAAGAAAATTAAAACCAAAACAAAACAAAACCGCTTTCCAATAAAACATGACGAGACCAATGTCTATACTCTCTGCGTGTGTGTGTGTGTGTGTGTGTGTGTGTGTGTGTGTGTGAATGTGTATAAGTGGTTGTAGGCTGATGGCCAATACCTCCGTGTATACTGATAAATTCATCATCCGAGTCGGACTCCAGAATACTCACCGAGTCGAACCAAGCTTCCTCTTGGGATATTACTGCAAGTGATAACTTTCAAATATGAGATTCAAGAGCTAAAATGATCATTAGTCAGCATTTTCGGTTGAAAGATGTTGAAATCTGAAGAAAATAGAGCACAAACCATTTGAATCATATTGGTGGTGCCACTGCATTTGGGTGAGTTGGAACGTCGAACTAGAAACCTTAGATCTTCTGCGAGTAGTTGTTGCACCATTCTCAAAGTCCATATGAACAAACTCACTCACAGAATAATCAGTTACGCGAGCTCCTGCATCGCTATTTCTCTTCTTGGCACCGCTATTTCTTTTCTTGGTACCATCGGAAGCAGAGCAGGTTATCTTTCCATGGCGTTTGCTGACCCTCTGATGGTGTTTCTTCCGCGATTTAATTGTCCTGGACGGGGTTGACACGCAACCACCCATCGCTGCTCTTTCAGATCATACAAGTCCAACTACAACGATGTCATCACAAAGTCGTCCAATTTGTGTTCCTACGCAGAACAACTGAAACAAAACGCATCACAGAAGTATGAGATTTGCAGAACTTCTTCACTCTTTAAGGGGGAGGAGAAAAAACTCCAGAATCTGATGAGGCTTGATCAGCATATTTTTTGCTGTTGACTTCTTATTTACCACTTTAATGTTCTATTAAAGTATGATTAAATTACCTTAGATAACAAGCTATCAAATTAAGCATGCCTTACAGATGCTAATATGGTATTTGGTCAAGCAATTACGATCCTGCTAATGTATCTTACATGTTTTAGGCTCACATTTCACTTGAAACAACTGATCTAATCTCAGAATTGCAGCACTAATAATGGCATAAAAAACTTCAAAAAATATATGAAAAATGAAAAGAAACAGAAAGAAGCAAGAGAATATCTCTGCAAAAGGAACCACTGCTAGTATCAACCAAAAAGTAAGCAAATTTCAAAGCACAAATTCTCAAAAGTTGC